TTTCNTTCGGGGCTTAGATTACCGGTTTCCATCAACGAACAGCAGGTGTTCGTGACTAACTGTCAACCCCGGTTGCTATTCACTGCTAGAATGTGTGTAATAAAAAGTGCAGGGCGTATGCCGGACGGAGCTACAGAATGTGGTCATCAGTTCAACGGTCTTTGTGCCTCCGTACATCCGAACAGACTAACGCTTTCATCAGTATATGCTAAATCGCGCGGCTTTTATCTGGCTGCCCATTCAATACTGACGTTTTGATGGCCATTCAGTGCGTTCTGCAGTATTTCTTCTACATCAAAGCTGGATCAGAATGGTGAAATAGGGCACCTTTGGTAAACNAAACACCGCTTCTGGTTTCGAAAAATGTACGCGAGTCCTTGAATCCTGTGTTATGCTAGTCTATCAATTATGAGACTCTTTTCCCGGTAGAAATTTGATCAAAGAACAATTTTTCGATATTACGCGATGTGTTTCATCTCAAATGGTGCTTGCTACAAAAGAATTTTTAGATAGCGGAGAGGGGATACAGTCTAACACATTATCTGATAAATAGTTCTGAATGATTTACCGCGGCCGACATGATAGCGCGTTGCTACCGCGTTTGATAACACAGGATTTTTGTGCCTTTGGTTGTGTTGGGCTGTGATGGCGTCATACTGATTATGTTGACCTCGTGCTGTATTTAGTTCGAAATATACTGTCGTTCGGTTATGTAACTGTCTCAAAATTCTCCTGATGTAGGTGATTCCGCACCTACATTCGAATTGATAGATAACGTTTGACTCGTTAAAGAGGGCTAGACGAGTTTTAGCCGGTGATGCTGGTATCAAAGATAACATTATGAAAGATAGAGGAAACAACAAAGAAAGTGCAAGGAACAACCGAATTAAGTAGATTGCACAATATTTGAGTGAAGTTTTAATCCTTGTACGGCATGTCAAGTTTGACCTCCAGCTTTTCTATTAACGTGACCAGGGTTGTTTTCTATGCATAAGCACCACCTTAGAATTGTATTGAACGATATATATATATATATATATATATATATATTGAGAAGGAGAAGGCGAACACTGAGTGATAGTATATAGTATATATATATATATATATATATATATATTCAATATGGGAACGAAGTGCAGAACGACTGAGAGCACGATAAACACGCCTTTAAAATGCTGCAGTTTCTCCGGGGGTGGATAAAACCTCGTTTTATTTCCAAGACGTGTCCCCATAGTGTTTTCTAAAGGATCTTCTCTGAAAGTTCTTATCACCACCTTTTGCGACTAGTGTGATTAACTTAATTTGGAGAGCAAAAATCCAATATCCAGGGCTATGGTTTGGGTGGTGAACCACAGTTCAGTTCAGTTGGTACAACCATTAACCCTGCACTTTCGTGCACTGGTTTTGGTTGCTGTCTTTTGGCTGCCAATGTGAATGAAGAATAGGCGAAGACAGGAAAGTTGAAAGTAGGGTCGAACAGAAAATGGTCTGAGGTTGCAAAGAAATTGAAAAGATGTACGAACGTCATTGTTTACGAAACCCAGCCATATCACTCAGTGTCTCTAACTATTAGTTACGATCATCCCTGGGTCTCCATCCGGGGAGCCTAACGGGACCTATGTGACCCAGTCTCCTGGTTAGGGTGTTTACCCTCATGCCAGGTCTTAGCTTGACCACTCTTGGCTTTTTTCCACCCACTACCTGCCTCGCTGAACATTGCTCACTGTGGCAACCCATCTGGTGACATGCGTAACACATGTTCCAACCAACGTAATCTATGGACATCGACCACTTGCTCCAGTGGGCGACCGCCGTTACCTAAAACTCTGCACCTAACCTCAGCATTGCTCGTCAGGCTGCCCCACCAGATTCGTGCAATGCTGCGTAGACAGTGGTGTTCAAACACCGACAGTTTATCTTTGTCCTATTTCNAACTGGCCGAACTGCTGCAGCATACACTCTACCCTTCACAGACAGCCGGATGTCGCGACGGTGCCACAGATGTTTCAAGTTCGCAAATGACAATCGAGCCTTTTATATGTGAGCCGACACTTCATCCGTGATACGTCCATAAGGTGAGATGTAGCTGCCCAACTAACAAATATTATCCACTTGCTCTATTACTTCCCCAGTTAGAGTGAGGCTGGGTGCTCTACCGACCCAGTCTTGTAGTAACATTTTGCACTTTGAAGGTGCAAAACGCATACCGAACATCGCTACACTGGCATTTAAGCTGTCCAAGAATGCTTAGAACTTACCTGGATCTTCACTGAGTAACACAATATCGTCTGCATACTCTAGATCAGGCAGTCTATCACCTGGAAGTTAATCGATGCCGCTATTCTCGCACGAGGATATAGCTGTTATCATAATCAAATCTATAACGAAGTTGAATAGAAAAGGAGAGAGAGAGAGGACAACCCTGTCGATCACCACTTTCTGTGGTGAACTCAGGCGAAAAAGTGCCATAAGCTCGGACCCGAATTCGTCTATTGGTATAAAGCGATTGTAATATTGAAATTAAGTTCTCGGATACACCCACAGGTTGCTAATCGATTTTGGGGAGTTGGAAAACCCTGATTTCCATCTTCTTCAAAATGGCGTATAGGCCATTCTGGTCGCAGCAGCCGTCAACTCACCTGAGCAATGAGTTGCCTCGACACTATATTATATTCCACACCCATATGGGTCCAAGTTAAATACTGCCAGGATGGTCAAATCAAAACGGACGAATTTTCGTAGGGATTCGTAACTGAATCCTTCAGTTAACCATAGCCGGATCCATTTGTCAATTTTTTTCTGTTTCTTAGCTCGTATAAACGCTACGGAATGCGACTCCCAGGCCAGGCACCAAATTCGTTGACCAATCCACAAACAACTGGTGTGTCAAATACCAGTGTTGCTGAAATCAAGCACATAAGTTTCAACGAATTCATGGCTTCTCTGGTGGAAAAATCAAAAGCCACGCATTCTGGTAGCGTCTCCATAACCAATGCACTTCAAGACAAACAACAGTCAACTGCGACTGTGAAAAAGGTTGGCCGTCCCAAAAGCCGCCATCTAACGGGGAAGACTCCGCCTTCAGAAAACTCCCAGCAATCAAACATTCTCACTTTTGTGTCACCACCTAAATGTCTCCCTGAGGTTGTGCTCCCCAAGGAAGATTGGTCTACTCCAGATAACCAAGAAACTTTATGGTCATCCGTAATCTGCGAACCATTCACTTTGAAAATGGTGGATGAGAATGTTACAACAGAGGTAATTTCGTTCTGTCAAATGAATATTTGTCCAGGACTTCTGCTGTCATTTGTATCCCATCGAAGGCCTAGAGAAGCATATCGAAGAAATGTCTACTGAATATCCAAGATTCCCCATCCGTCAGTGCTTAACTGATTTTCGAAAGAGCTCTAATGGATCTTCCCTTGCGGGTGAGTTTATGCTTCCATGGCCACACGACTTAGTTTGTTGGTTTTCTCGACTGAAATATATTTTTGTGTCACATTTAAAATTTTTTATTGCATTCGCCACGAGCCCATCGAAATTTGACAGTTAAAACAGTCTGATCTATCAATGACATCCATTTGTCCTCCAAGGGGACGTACTACGTCTTCCGAAATCTCGCCTTTAATCTTCTGAGTTATTTCACTGCATCGC